TAACCTCAGCAATGGTATAGGGGAGTTGAGAGACAGGTAAACTCCCAGCGCCCATTGGCCAGCCAGGCTAGCTGAATGGATAAGTACTAGGTTCTTTGCTCTCAAAGAGCCTGCTTCAAAAAATAAGGTGGAATGAAACTGAGGAAGACCTATGTTGACCTCTGGCCTCCACACATCCATATACACACATGTACTTTCACCTATGTACATACAACCAGCATATGAATATAGTTATACCACAGATGAGGGAGAGAGAAGAAAAATAATGAATGAATTGAATCAACCAACACAGGTTCTTTAAAAGTAATTTCACCATGATTTTAATCAGCAAAATTTGAAAAGAAGTGTTTTCCAAAGTTTTTTCATATTTAATTATCACACTTTGGTGGTATGCATAGAGGAAGGTAAGGAAAGTAACTTTGACTTCACGGTTTCAATCTGGCAATGCTGCCAGGTCAAAGTGGGGAGCCACATTTTGTCTAAAACACATAAACTTTGCAGTTATTTGGTTATGATTTTTGATCTGGATTCAAGCATCACTTCCCTAAGACTCACTTGAAAAAAGTCGGCTGAAGTCATCAAGGGTTAACACATTATTTTTGCGGACATGCTTCTTACGCACACGAGAGTAGCTTTCCCTGGCAAAGCATTGCCTTTATGACAGTTCATGGCTTCTCATCATCCTTTGTCCCTCTTACCCTGTCATCTCTGCTTTGGTTAATAGTTGATTCTGGTGATGCCCAGGAGTGAGATTTCTTTCAGAAGGTAAGTACTGCCTCCTTCCATTGACTCTTTCCTGCAGCAGACCTCTGGCTGAGTTGCCTCAATTTCTTTATTGAAACTTCATATGAAACAACACCATCTCCAGCTCCTGGGTGCTCTTCATGCCTGTGAATGGCTCTTTGAGAGTCATAAAGACCAGAGAGCCAAAATGCTTTGTTCTGCCACATCCTACTAAGCATACTTTCATCCAAATGGCATGCAACTGGCTCCAGACTTGCCTGGGGTTGGGCACCCATAAACACGTTGAGACAATTCATCTGCCTGCTGTTGACTATCACTTTCACTTATTAAGCCAGGTTGCTGTTTGAATAGAAAATTGGAAAGTTGTTAAATCTTTGAAGAAAAAAAATTGAAGAGGACACCAGAAAGTGGAAAGATCTCCCAGGCTCTTGAGTAGGTAGAATTAACATAGTAAAAATGGCAATCTTCTCAAAAGCAGTCTACAGATCAATGCAATGGCCATCAAAATCTCAGCAAAATTCTTCACAGACCTAGAAAGAACAGTACTCAACTTCATATGAAAAAAATCAAAAAACCCAGGATAGCCAAAACAATCCAGTACAGTAAAGGAACTTCCGGAGGCACCACAATCCCTGACTTCAAACTCTACTACAGAGCTACAGTACTGAAAATAGTCTAGTATTGGCATGAAAACAGGCAGGAGGACCAATAGAACTGAATTGAAGACCCAAATATCAATTCACACTCCTATGAACACCTGATTTTTGACAAAGAAGCAAAAAAAATATAAAAATGGAAAAAAAGCATCTTCAACAAATAATGCTGGCATAACTGGATATCAACATATAGAAGAATGAAAATAGACCCATATCTATCACCATGCACAAAATTTAAGTCCAAATGGATCAAAGACCTCAACATAAAGCCAACCACACTGAACCTCATAGAAGAGAAAGTGGGAAGTACACTTGAACGCATTGGCACAGGGAACCACTTCCTAAATATAACCCCAGCAGCACAGACACTGAGAGAAACAATTAATAAATGAAACCTCTTGAAACTGAGAAGTTTCTGTAAAGAAAGACACGGTCAACAAGACAAAATAGCAGTCAACTAAATGGTAAAAGATCTTCATCAACCCCACATCAGACAGAGGGCTGATCTCCAAAATATACAAAGAGCTAAAGAAATTGGTCACCAAAATAACAAATAATCCAGTAAAGAAAATGGAGTACAGACCTAAACAGAGAACCTTCAACAGAGGAATCGGAAATGACTGAAAGATACTTAAAGAAATGTTCAACATCCTTAGTCATCAAATCAAAACTCTGAGATTCCATCTTATACCTATAAAAATGGCCAAGAACAAGAACACTGATGACAATTTATGCTGGAGAGGTTGTGGGGTAAAGGAAAAACTCCTGCATTGCTGGTGGGAATGCAAACTGGTATAACCCCTTTGGATATCAGTATGGCTATTTTTCAGAAAATTAGGAAACAACCTTCCTCAAGACCCAGCAATACCACTTTTGGATATATACCCAAAGGATCCTCAATCATACCACAAGGACATGTGCTCAACTATGTTCATAGCAGCATTGCTTGTCATTATAGAACCTGGAAACAACCTAAATGCCCCTCTACCAAAGAATGGATTAGGAAAATGTGGTACATCTACACAATGGAATGTGGGACATTTACACACAGCAGAAAAAATAATGACATCTTGAGATTTGCAGGCAAATGGATGGAACTAGGAAGCATCATACTGAGTGAGGTAACTCAGACACAGAAAGACAAATATCACATGTACTCACTCATAAATGGCTTTTAGGCATAAAACAAAGAAAACTAGCCTACAATTCACAATCCCAGGGAACCTAGACAATAGTGAAGACCCTAAGAGAGATAAAAATGGATCTAAGCTACATGGGAAGTAGAAAAAGACAAGATCTCCTGAGTAAATTTGGAGCATGGGGACCATGGGGGAGGGTAGAAGGGGAGGGGATACGAAGGGAGGGGAGCAGAGAAAAATAAAAAATAAATTTAAAAAATTGGAAAATTGGGAAAACATCAGGAATACTGAAAATTTTGCTACAGGGATTATTTTTCTAAAATTTGTGTTATTCATTTGAAGATGTTTCCCTAAATCCTACTTATATGTGCATGTTTTTGTGCCTAACTACCTGAATATCTATCTATCTATCTATCTATCTATCTATCTATCTATCTATCTATCTATCTATCTAT